AGCAAAGCAGCTTTGTACATGATGTTCTCAAGACACAGAGGACAAAGGAGACACTGGGAGAATTTGGGCTTGGTTGTGATTGTGACATAGAAGACTCTTCTCTGTTCTCCAGGAAAGGGCACAAGGGAGACCAAAATAGACTTTCAGATGGAGGTGACTCCAGGAGTTTCCCTCGGCTCCTGTGTCATGTCTGCTCAACGGCTGCTTTTCAAAGGCCACAGATGAACCCTAACACCTCATGATAATCCATTCTAGAGCAACACTGACAAGCTCCTCTTTCCATCTGTGCCACCTCCTTGGTGGTGCAATTTACTACTGGCATTTAGGGGCCTTGCTTGTTAGTTGGCCTATATTTCTCTTTTTCCAAGTTCCAGGGAGCTCCCCCTAAATTCTAGGGTTCTGGAGTTCAGTGAACATGCACAGTTTAACCTGCTTTACTCTTATGACTTTACAGACAAACTCGCATCTCCAGTTCTGCCAGCCTGGGACTATTCACACTCTGACTTGATGCACAGGTGGCAGCACCCAGTTTCTCTGAGTATCTTGTCCTTCTCAAAATGCTATTACATGTCTGACATGCAGAACTGAGTGCAATGTTGGCCATGTGGAAGTACCATAATTTTGCAGAAGAATAAGCATTGGAATACTATTATCTGGATACAGGGATCATCAAAAAGTAGGTGCCTACTGGCAGCTCTCCTGTCTTACCACCCAGAACATGCCTGGCACAGAGCAGCCACACCACAAAACTTGTGCAATGAGTGTCTCTTGATTTCAGCCACCAGGTGATAAACATATATTAATGCATACAGCCATACAGATACATATATGTAAGAAACAACACAAAGAAGACCTTCCGAAGTTCAACACTGTGGTTCTTTTTTTTTCCTCTAAGCAACATTAGTCCATGTGCTTTGGAGGAGCTTTTCCTTCATACCCATTCCTTTATCTCCACTCTAATCAGTCTAAAATCTAACTGCAGCAATGCCTGTTAACTGGGGCTGCTGTGTTTGAGATCTTAGCCCTCCAATCTGTCATGTACCACGGATACGTTCTCCTCCCATCACTTTTCAGCTATTGGGTCTTTATCAGTTTCACATTTTGTGCACATTCATCTTTCTGCCACTCTGATCTCATCTCGTCCCCCTATGCACTCACCTCCAACTGCTCCTTATTGCCCCAAGTCCACTCTTGGCAGCTGGTATCCGAGACTCATGGCTGTACCTTCTGAATCTCACCTTCCAAGATGCCCACACAGAATCTCTACTCTAGACAGCCCTACCTCTTCAGTACCTCCCAAACACACCTTATTTATTTCCCACTTGAGTGTTCAACATCCTTTTCCCTTTATTCTAGTTTCCCAAATCCTGCACAATCTTCAACGTCCAGCTTTGGAAGATGTTTTCCACTCTTTCCATGAGTCCAGTGGAACTGCTTTTGGAAAACAAGATGACTCTAACGCTGTGCCAGATGTTAAAGCAAGCGAAGTTTTGTAATATGAGGTCCCCAGAAAGTGTTCCGAAGCTACTGAGGTTCTTGGGGTTGAAAGTTGTAGAAGAAAAGCAGTCACGCCACTAGATGTGGCCTGCTTGTATCTTTTTTGCCCTCGTCCTGTTCTCTCTGGCTGGCAGACATTATTTTATTCTTACTAGAGCCACAAGTAAATTTATCTTTTCAATTGAAGAAAGCCGCTTTTAAAAATGCCTCCTGGCCAGGCACAGTAACTCACACCTATAATCCCAGCACTTTGGGAGGCCAAGGTGGGCAGATCACCTGAGGTCAGGAATTTGAGACTAGCCTGGCCAGCATGGTGAAACCCTGTCTCTACTAAAAATACAAAAAAAAAAAAAAAAAAAAAATTAGCCGGGTGTGGTGGCAGGCCCCTGTAATCCCAGCTATTCAGAAGGCTGAGGCAGGAGGACCGCTTGAGCCTGGGAGGTGGAGGTTGCAGTGAGCCGAGGTCACACCATTGCATTCCAGCCTGGGTGACAGGCTTTTTGTCTCAAAAATTAAAAAAAAATTTTTTAAAAAAGCCTCCTGAGCTGGAGTTACCAGGTTCTCAAAGCTGGTGTAAACAGACACTTCTGCTTGTGGCCAGATCTGTCTGGCTGAATTTGCACATGAACCAGCTGGTGAAAAGTCAGTCAGTGTTACACATTCACAAAAGCAGAGGCTTTCGGCCGGGCGCGGTGGTTCACGCCTGTAATGCCAGCACTTTGGGAGGCCGAGGCGGGCAGATCACGAGGTCAGGAGATCGAGACCATCCTGGCTAACACGGTGAAACCCCATCTCTACTAAAAATACAAAAAATTAGCCAGGTGTGGTGGTGGGCGCCTGTAGTCCCAGCTCCTTGGGGGCTGAGGCAGGAGAATGGTGTGAAACCCGGAAGGTGGAGCTCGCAGTGAGCTGAGACTGCGCCACTGCACTCCAGCCTGGGCAGTGCAAGACTCCATCTCAAAAAAAAAAATAAAGCAGAGACTTTCATCTGCTCTTGGAGTGAAGTCTTGTTGTTTACATTTTATCATTCATATGATACAAAACAGTTTTTGTTTTCATCAAATATGAGGAAGTGTCCCATTCAGGGAATTCTGCAAATGATAAAGACTAAAACAATGTCTCCTTCCTCCCCAAATCTGTAAACACACAGTGATACAGTTGATACAAATGGCATTTGGTGACCACAGCTGGAGTAAGTTCAGGTGGATGCCATAATGGGCTCCATTTTCTCCTGCTAGACAGGGGTATGGGCCACACATGCCAGGCCTTAGGCTGGTTTCAAGGAAGGCTTTGGAGACAATGACAGAGCCCACTGCCATCAGGTGGTGGCAAGTGGTGGTGGGCAGTGAGGAGGAACTTCTACAGTGCCCCCTAGAGGTAGGGGACACAAATGTCAGGAAAGGAGAGGGGATCTGACCTGTTGAATCAGGTTGCACCTGAGGATGCTGAATCCAGGGAAAACGGAAATAAAAGAGTAACACAGGCAGCAATATACTGTATGTGCACACCAGAGGTCCCCTTTCTTGATTTGATATATTTTTGGTAACAGTAACACTCAACTGTGCACACATGCACGCGCGTGCACGTGCACGCGCACACACACACACACACACCCCGTGACATAGTTGATGCAAACAGCAAACATTTATATGTGTATAAGATGGGGTTGGATAGAGATTAACTAGACAAGAATCCCATAAGCTGTTACATAAAAATTTAAAACAGAGTGAATATCTCAATATGGGAATGGTTGAGAATTTGAGATATACCCTAATGACAGAATATTATGCAGTTGTTAAGAAAAATTAAATAAGTTTTTAGGGTTAACTCAAGGGATTTTTACTACATATTGTTAAATGAGGAGAGAGAAGGGCATAGAATATTCCATTTGTTAAATCCTGTGTGTGTATTAAAAGGTGCTGAACACATCAGTGTGAACAATGTTAAGGAGAAACAGGGAGGGAAGAGAATGATAGAAAACAAACAAAAGTGACTATTAAAAGTAACAGGTTATTTAAAAAGTGAGAATTCGCCGGGCATGGTGGCTCATGCCTGTAATCCCAGCACTTTGGGAGGCCAAGGCGGGCGGATCACCTGAGGTCAGGAGTTCGAGACCAGCCTGACCAACATGGAGAAACCCTCTCTACTAAAAATACAAAATTAGCCGGGCATGGTGGCACATGCCTGTAATCCCAGCTACTAGGGAGGCTGAGGCAGGAGATTCGCTTGAGCCTGGGAGGTGGAGGTTGCAGTGAGCCGAGATCATGCCATTGCACTCCAGCCTGGGCAACAAGAGCAAAACTCTGTCTCAAAAAAAAAAAAAAAAAGTGAGAATTCTATTAAATTATGTACATGTATATAAATGACCACCAAAATGCTGGAGGTGTTATCTGAGGGTGAAACCATTGCAGGTGATTTTTATATTCTTTCTTATACTTTTCAGCATTTTAACAGGAAATATAATTAGTCTATAATCAGAAATTACTATTTTCATTGAGGGAAAAAAATTGAATGATTCAATAACACTGGGAGCATGGAAAATGTTTCTGAAGTCTTCCTAGCCAAAACAGGGCACACAGAAAAACTGTGCACATTTATGACTCAAAGAGGTTTTCACAATCTTCTTCAAAATGGAGACAGACCACAAAGTCCAAAATTAATAATCATCCAAATACTTTAAGCACCTTGAAGACAGGGCCTAAATCTAATTTTTAACAGTTTCCTAATAGCTTAGAGTGCTCTGAGTGCTCAGTCCTCATTAACTGACAAGCACATTTCAAATCCTATGAATTATTACATCAAAGATGCCATTATTTGACATACAAATGCTATTAAAGATAAAATCTCATCTAAAAAAGAGTATCCAAGCCAGAGCAGCTCCAGTGAAAATAATTTAACTATGAAATTTAATCTGCTACAACGTAAGCAATAAAACCCTGTAAGCAATAAAACCCTAACACATAACAAAACTGGTCTACCTGCTCTGTTTATATTCAGTGCATCCAGTTTTGTTCCCTGCATTCCTACAGTCTCGGGGCTGCCTGGTATCTACATACCCACCTCAATGACTGTCCACTCAATCCCATTACCTTCGGTTTCTTACTGAAGATACAAGAGTAATGACATTAGCTACCAATCATCATAAATCATCTCCGGGCCAGGCCCATCTTCAACACTAAACAGCCTGCTAAAATTTGACTCCAACATGCAATTGTTTTGCAGAGAGGTACAACTTTTCCCTTCTTCCAGGCCTGCTTTCTCTGCAGGGCAGTGAAAGTGCATGCTGTGTGGAGAGCTGCTCTGGTAATAGCCATGGAATAGCCCGTCCAGGACAACAGGCACCAGGTCCTCATGGGGTGGAGGTGGGCTGTGGCTGCTGCCCTTGGAGGCTGGGCACCCACACCTGGCTATAGGGGCCTCTTGCATGCCATTCTTTTAAAACTGGCATTAGGCAATGTGAAAACTAATTTTACACGTCTAATCTTTTCAAGTAAAATACTTACCTGGACTAGCAAGTGGCCCGAATTAGGCAAACATGTACCACATTTCTCGGTGTTCTCATTTATTTGGTTTATCAAATTTATCAGTATTTCCACAGCACCTTTGCTGATCATTTCATTAAGAAATCCTGGATTTCCAGAAATGAACTTTATAGACCCCATACAGTATAAAAAAGCTTCCATGTTAGTTTCCAGGTCTTCACTTCTTAGTACCTCCAACAATGATTCTGTCAAAGAGATGAATTATTATAAATGTCTGAGTATAACAGCGGGAGATAAATATATTAAATAAGTTGTGTGTGAACATAAAATACACTTTGTAAAATATGTTTACCAAAATCTACATTCAAGTGCTTGTTAAGAGTTATATCGTATAAAGAGAAAAGCTTACTTTTAGTTAAGACAAATCTCTGTAATAGTAATTTCAGCAAAAGGATGGGATTATTAATAAATAAGAGAAAGTATTATTTTAATTAATGTCATTCCTTGCCTCTTACTAATTATTTATTGGCCTTTATTATTTGTTACAAAAATTTTGAGTCATAGAATACTAATAATTTAACAAATTTAAGAGTTAAATTTCAATAAGTCTTTAAGAATATATTTGTTTCTGTATTATTAGTGGAAAATCCATGACAGTAGCTTAAAAAAATCTCAATCACCCTAGAAAAAGATAACTTGAATACAACACCTATCCTTTTCCCAAGACAACTTAAGAACATTTATTCAATAACATACCACTACTTGGTTTTACGAGTAATCCAGGCAAATCCAATAAGGTTAATAATGCATATCTCACATTTAATTATATTAATGCCCATGTAATAATTTGAGATGATTGTTTTCAGTCTACAATTCTTAATTAGTTGATTCAACATTAGACATTTCTTTCAGTACTCGTTTTGTCCCTGTCTGCCAGGGGCAAAGAAAGATGAAAAGATAATTTATCCTATGTTGCAAAAAGAGAACTCAAAATATTTTCCATGTTGCTGCATGGAAGATACTTTGTATCTTCTCTTCTTGTATCAGCAATATTAATTCATAAAAACATTTCCATTTAGGTAACTAGGTATCTTAATTTTTTAGAAGTACAACAAAAATTAGGCATGAGCTAGACAAGGTGTAATAAAACTTCCTTACCTACAAATTTGAAACATTGTGATGTCAGGTTTCTATAACAGTTATAGCTGTCTTTCAACTTTCAGTCATTCCTAGTATATTAAAGACTAAAATTTTCAATTATGTCAAATACTATTACATGCATTTTTCTATATATTAAATCCAAGTCCAGGAAATGAATTCTTAAATGGGGAACACTTTGTAAATCACACAATGTTACTACAGGTGTTGAAAGAAAAGAGCAAACTACCACAGGATACATTCAACTGAATGTGGAAAACAGAGAAGGACAAAGTAAAAATGAGCATTGCAAAACTTCTGCATGTTTCTAGAAAACAAAATATTCCTGCTATCATTGATTACCACATTTTCTCTCCAGATATCTAATTTTTACTCAAGTATATTTGCTCAATAGTAGCACTGAATGACACTCACCCAGAATGCTGTCATTTTGAATCAAAGAATCATTCTTCTCATTCCTGCTAATTTTAAATATAAGTTTGCAGACATTAAGAAGATTCTTTCTACTCACTTTAAGCTGCAGAGAAAGAAACACATCTCTATTGCAGAAGGAAATAAAGACATGCTGTATTTTAAAAAAAATAAACCACAAACACCTATTTTTAAAGTGCAGCAAGAGTATTTTTAAACATGAAGAAAAGTTCTAAAGAAATCAACTTTGAAAAATTTAGACCACATATTTGCTAACTGTGGTATCTAATTAACTCAATTATAGTAAATACAATATAAATGATCTTTAGAATAAACATTTTAATGACAGATCTTGGCGACTGTGAACAGTGTGGAATAAACATAGAAGTGCAGATATCTCTTCGATATATTGATTTCCTTTCTTCTGAGTATATACCTAGCAGTGGGGTTGCCGGATCATACAGCAGCTCTATTTTTAGTTTCTTGAGGAACCTCCAATCTGTTCTCCTTATTTCTTACTTCATAAAGTCTCTCTCTCTTTTCTTTTTTTCAGAGACAGGGTCTTGCTCTTTCACCCAGGCTGGAGTGCCGTGATGCCGCCATCACAGCTCACTGCTGCCTTGACCTCGTGGGCTCAATCAATCCTCTTGCCTCTGCCGCCAGAGCAGCTGGGACTATAGGCATGTGCCACCGTGCCTGGCTAATTTTTTCAACTTTTTTTGGTAGAGATGTTGCCCAGGCTGGTCTCAAACTAGCAGGTCAAACAATCCTCTCACCTCAGCCTCCCAGTGTTGAGATTACAAGTGTGAGCTAACACGCCCAGCCAAGTCTCATATTTATATGTGTGATTATTAGTTACTTTCAAAGGAGTATATGAGGAAGAAAGGGGTGCAGTATACTGCTAATACATTTAATTAGAGTAATTGCATTAAAACACAAAAGTAGAGAAAGAAGAATACCAAAATTTCACATTAATTTAGAAAAGAATACATAGTAGAGACGAAGGAAAGAAAAGAAAGGGGGAAGCTTTTGGTTTTATCATTTGTATAAAAGAAAACTTAATACTGTTTAATTTGATAATACACATATATTTCTTTTTAAGGTCTATTTCTGGAATGCTTTGAGATAATCACAAGTAACATCTAAATTTGAAAATTACCTTCTAGGCTGGATGCAGTGGTTCACGTCTGTAATTCTGGCACTTTGGGAGGCTGAGGCAAGTGGATCACGAGGTCAGGAGTTCGAGACCAGCCTGACCAATATGGTGAAACCCCATCTCTACTAAAACTACAAAAATTAGCCGGGTGTGGTGGCACGCGCCTGTAATCCCAGCTACTCAGGAGGCTGAGGTAGGAGAATCACTTGAAACCAGGAGGCGGAGGTTGCAGTAAGCCGAGATCGCACCACTGCACACCAGCCTGGGTGACAGAGCGAGAATCCGTCTCAAAAAAAAAAAAGAAAGAAAAAAGAAAATAAAATTGTCTTCTAAATCATACAAAAAGATCTAAGTAAACTAAACACAGGGTGATAAGGAAATATAGTTGGGTTTTTTTTTAAAAAAAAAAAAAAAGCAAAGTATAGGATGACTGACTGAATCAAATGGTCTAAATTAGCTGTGTATTTAAAGTAGTAAAAAAGAAAAATAAAAAACACCCTAAATATCCAATATTAGGGAATAGTTTAATAAACTGTGGGACATCAATACTATTCACATTAAGCAGTCACAAAAAAGTGTAACTGTGAACACTATGTTTAAAGAGGGAAACATTTATAACCTACTGTTAGATGGAAATACTATGTGCCCTCATCGCAAAAGTGTAAAAATGTGTTTGTAGGAATAAAGTCATCTGAACAAAAAATTATTTCTGTGTGAAAAGGATGACATATAGGTGATTAGTTTATTATTAAAAACTATCTTTTAAGTTATTTTATTTATTTTTTGAGACGGAGTTTCGCTCTTCTCCCCCAGCTTAGTGTGCAATGGCATGATCTTGGCTCACTGCAACCTCCGGTTCCCGGGCTCAAGTGATTCTCCTGCCCCAGCCTCCCAAGTGGCTGGGATTACAGGCATGTGCCACCATGCCCGGCTAATTTTTGTATTTTTAGTAAAGATGGGGTTTTGCCATGTGGGCCAGGCTGGTCTCGAACTCCTGACCTCAAGTGATCCACCCACCTTGGCCTCCCAAAGTGCTGGGATTACAGGTGTGAGCCACCACGCCCAGCCTAAAGTTATTTTTAATAATATTTATTAATGAGTTTTCAGTTACTTAAAAAAACATAATGGAATCTGTCAGGCATATTTGTTATTTGTTCTGTGTTTGATCCACAAGTATTTACTGGGCGCCTGATGTGTACCAGGCACTGTGCTGCTCACTGCACAAGACACCAAGATGGCCACGGTCAGCCCCCAGCTGGAGCGGTCCCAGGAGGCGAGCACTGCCTGTGGTACAGCTTCTGCATGCCCTCCTGCAAGAGGCCACTTACAAAAGTTATTCCAGAGCAACCCTGCAAATTCGGTGTTGTCATTCCCATTTTGCACTTGAGGAGTGCGTGCCTCAGAGAGGTCACAGAACCACCTCGGCATCACCTGGGCATGCATTAGGAATGCAGAATCTCAGGCCCCACCCGGCAGTACCGCCTCAGAATCTGCATTTTACAAGACCCCCAGGGGATGCATGTGCACACTGAAGTCTGGGAAACACTGTTATGGAAGCTTCAGAAACTGTAACACATGGCGGAATGGAGATTCCTTCTGTTCCCAGGAGGAAAATAGGAAATGGGAACCTTAATACATGTTTAATGATTAGGTATTTAAAATAACATTGTTTAAAACCCCCAGAAAATAAGAGGGCTTAAGAAAACAGAAGAACATTTCTATATTGATGGAAATATATATTAGTCCTAATATTTGGGAATATATTTGAATTGTCTGACTATCTTCTACTAGATTGTGAGTCCTTGAGGTCAAAACCACCATTTATTACTCTTTCTATATGTAATATGTAGGATGAGTTCCATACTTAATAAAACTTCATGGAAAAAAATGAATAAAACTCACTTTCCTTTCCCCCACCAAATCTTACATTTTTAGTAAAAAGTGGCAAACGAAAACAAAACAAAACAAAAACCCCTTGTATCAGAGTTTTCATTAAAACAAGAAGAAAAAATAAAAAAGAAAACAAAGAAAAGAAAAAAGACAACCACAATTTCCAGGCCTGCTGTAATGTCAATTTACACTCAGAGCAAATTTGTATGGCTTCTCCATTGTTAACTGTAAAATTATGACTTTAAGACATAAAAAGATAATAAAATCTTACATTTATGCAAGGGGTGTAGACTATCTTATTTTTAAAATTCCCTGTTACTCTCCCTTTCCTTTGCTCTGCTTTATTTTTCTCCCTTAGTTCTCATTATCTCCTTTGGTATCTGCTGTGTTTGCTGTCTGTCTGCCCTGCTACAGTGGCAACCCCAGAGGCAGGAGCTAGTTTATTCACTTGTATTCCCAGTGTCAAGAAGAGTCTCTGGCCAGGTGCATGACTCACACCTGTAATCCCAGCACTTTGGGAGGCCAAAGTGGGAGAACTGCTTGAGGCTAGGAGTCTGAGACTAGCCTGGGCATCATAGCGAGACCCCATTTCTTTTTTTTTTTTTTTTTTTTTTTTTTTGAGACAGAGTCTCGCTCTGTCGCCCAGGCTGGAGTGCAGTGGCCGGATCTCAGCTCACTGCAAGCTCCACCTCCCGGGTTTACACTATTCTCCTGCCTCAGCCTCCCGAGTAGCTGGGACTACAGGGCGCCCGCCACCTCGCCCGGCTAGTTTTTTGTATTTTTTAGTAGAGACGGGGTTTCACCATGTTAGCCAGGATGGTCTCGATCTCCTGACCTCGTGATCCGCCCGTCTCGGCCTCCCAAAGTGCTGGGATTACAGGCTTGAGCCACCGCGCCCGGCCTGCGAGACCCCATTTCTATAAAACATTTTTAAGACATCAGCCAGGTGTGGCAGTGCATGCCTGTGGTCCTAAGCTCCTCGGGAGGCTGAGGCAGAAAGATCACTTGAGCCCAGAAGTTTGAGACTGCAGTGAGCTGTGATCTTGCCACTGTACTCTAGCCCTGGGTGACAGAGCGAGATCTTGTCTTTAAGAAAGAAAACAAAAAAGAGTCTTGGCACAAAGTAGGTTCTTGTGGTAGGGTAGTTTTCTTCTTATGTTAAAAACAGTAGTTTATTCTATTTAAAGTAAATTTGGCAAATTAAAGTAAGAGAAGTTAAAAAATCACTCATAATAGTGCCACTATGTATAATCACACTTGCTATTGGTATTTCTTTTCTTTTTTTACCCTGTACAAAGGGTGCTAGATTTTTTTCCCTCCTAAATATAGTCACATTCATACTGTATATATTTGTTTGTACTCTTTTAAAAAAACTTAATACAGTAACATTTAAGCTTATATATTTTTGTATATTATTTTGTAAGAGCTTTTGACACAAAGATTAAAATTAAGATGACAGTCTGGAAAACTTTCATTTGCCAGTATTTGCCAATAAATAGGCAGAGAGAAATTGTGAAAAACTTCTTAGTCCCATATAGCTTTAGTTTTTGCTGATTTTTTCTTCTTCAACGGTTCTTACGATGTAGTCTTTTAAAATTTTACACAGAACCCCATCACCAAGGTCTAAGCTAAACAAGACCTTGTCTGGAATGTTACAGGAGATCGAGGCAGTAGATGGGAAGTTGGCCTTGATGGATTTGAAGGTCCTTTCTGATGCTGGTTCTGCAGCTAGTCAGAAGGCAAACCCACCCAGCTCTGCACTCTGGAGTTTTAGCCCAGCATCTTGCTCCTGATTCAGCAAGGCCATCAATGTCACCAAGAGGGCTTTATCTAATCATATGTTTAGCTCAAAACATGTTCACTGCCTGGCAGATCATTTAGCCTTTTGCCCTAAAATAATAAAATTTGTGCCATATATAGATAATTCATTTGAATGACACCATTAATAACCAAAACAATATTTTCTCTGCAAAGCATTAAAAGAATTCATGTTCCTTCCTTCCTCCTTCCTTTCCTTCTTGCTCTTTCTTTTTATTTTCCCCCTCACTCTTTCTTTCTTTCTTTGGCTTGGTATGGAACAAAATGTCTAGGATCCAGATTAAGATAGCAAAGGCAATCTTTGGGCAGCTGCTGCACCACCAGAGCCGTGGAGTGAAATCACTATTTCAAACAAGTATTGCTTTCTTCACCACATATCATAATTTTTAAAAATAGAGTTAATAGTTTGACAGCTAAATAAGAATGTAGCCTCCCCCTGATATTACACAGATATATGCTCAGAAAATTCTGCTTTATGAAAGACTTCATTACCAGTATAAGAAAAGGTGGCATTCTTATTAACTAATAGTAAGTATGGCAACACTTACCTTCACTGTATACTATAAGATTTTAAATTCTATAAATTATGGGGTGTTAGCACAAAGCTTTTACTTGTATGAAACCAAGAAAACAAAGCTTCATTCATTTGTTTTCGCGGCTCTCTTAGAACATTCTATAATAATTGTGGCTTATCTTTTGGTTCCAACTGTTTATGGCTGAGACAATGAAGTGCTCCCCTCAAACAATGATATCATTTTGTTTGAGACAGAGTTTCTACAGACTTTTTTTTTGGTGTCTGGCCTTTTCTTCTCACACCTTGTGAAAGCCTTCTATGACCATTGAGGTACCTTCCTGTGACCACACGCAGCTGTTTTTCGGTTTCACACTGGTTCCTAAAGCACCTGGTTTATTATGACTGTGGCCTAAATTACTTAGTTATTTATTAAATCATATGACAGAATCAAACATTCAAGAGAAACCACAGCCTGCACCATCTGCTACTGATCTCCAGTCAAGTTATTTGAGCAACCGTTTCGAATGTATTTGCCTACGGTTATTTCTTTTTCTTTCTTGCCTTTCTTTCCTTCCTTCTTTTCTTTTTTTTTTTTTTTTTAAACTTAGTCGCAGTCCAAAAATGTTAAGAGTTTCTTTGAACATTTTCTATGTACTCAGCTTTAGTTCCTTAGATAATACTTCCTGGTCAAATTCTGAGATGTCAGTTTATTACCTTATTTTTTTCCAAGATTCTAAACAAATACACTACATTTCTAATATTCTTTGTAATATTTACAAATAAAGCATTAAACAAAGCTTTTATGTGATACAGTCTACTAGACCAGAGGAAAGAAAAACTTACTGCTAGAATTATTTTTGCAAGTTTAAGGCTGAGCAAGTCTGAACCAACATCAACTAGTTTACATAGGGTCTTCAGGAGAATACTTCTTCTCTTAAATTTATTTCCAAGCATGTTTCCTTCCTCTAAAGCATGATGAAGTTGTGTGCAAGCAGCACAAACCGTTTCAATGTTTTCTTCTGTCAGAGCAAAGAGAGTAAAGCAACATTTACTAATTAAGGTTAAGTTTTCAAGTGTGTCAAACACAGTGTGAGTAAAAACCCTGTCATTATTTCCTTGGATATCTTCAAATTCCTGAACTCTATTTTTTTCCTTATCTTATCGCTTCCATCTACCCGATTTTTTTCATCCCTTTGATCCATCTCCTACCATGTTGACTTATTACTTATCAGTCATTAGCTTATCTAGAATACACAGTCTTTCAAAGAGGTATTGGAGAATGGGACTTCTACCTGCTTCAGTTGGCCTCCTTTACTCCAAACGCCCTCCACCTCAGCCCGTGCTCTGCTCAGTCTCACAGATGCATGCCACTTGCATCTTGACCTTCAACTCTTTTTTGAATAGTTCTATTGGCCTAAAATGTTCTCCATAACCCTCATTCCTACTGTTTTTGGTCCTTCGAGGCTCTGTTTATGTTGTAGCTGCTTCAGAAAAGATGCACTGTTCCACATTCACAAACATTACCTTAGGTTACTTATTTTCCATGTACATATGTGTGTGTTGTGTTACATGACCAGTGCCCTCAAACAGATGTCATGCTAAGTGAGCCAGTCTTACATATCTATCAACAGCACATGGTACAGTGAGAATACTGGATAGAATACTGTATGTAGCATAACTTCATACATATTCATTTTCTAATATATCTGTTGACAAAAACAATGACCAATATTTTCCTATGAGAATAATGCTCATCATCTAAGAAAAGAAGGCTCTACTAGAACAAAAGCCTGAAATGTCACAAAATCCACCATTATCTGGAGGTGGTTATTAGAAAACAAGAGAATAAAAAGATTTTTTGGGGTTGCTCACGCCTGTCGTCCGGCACTTTGGGAGGCCGAGGTGGGAGGGTTGCTTGATTCTGGGTTCAACGCCACCTGGGCAATACAGCAAGATCCTACTTCCAAAATAAAATAAAAAATAAATTTAAAAAAGGAAGAATATTTTAGTTAGGAAACAGGGAGATCTAGAACCTTTCATTTTATAATTATGATCGTGAGGAAAGTAATTTTTTTTTTTTTTTTGAGATGGAGTCTCACTCTGTCACCCAGACTGGAGTGCAGTGGCACATTCTTGGCTCACTGCAAGCTCCACCTCTCGGGCTCAAGCAATCCTCCTGCCTCAGCCTCCTGAGTAGCTGAGACTCCAGACACGTGTCACCACACCTGGCTAATTTTTGTATTTTTGGTAGAGATGGGGTTTTGCCATTTTGCCCAGGCTGGTCTCAAACTCCTAATCTCAAGTGATCCACCTGCCTCAGCCTCCCAAAGTCCTAGGATTACAGGTGTGAGCCACCACACCCAGCCTAGGAAAGTAATTTTTGAAAGTGGTAGCCACACTAATTGGCATACAAAGAAGAAAAATAGCACAATAAATGGAACATGAGGGGAAATAAAATAATCTAACATATTCTGTTGAATAATATTATCTCTGATAGATTCCTTCATGAAATTTAAAAGTAGGAAACCAATCTTAAATAAATACCATAATGTGCTCTTAGAAGCCCACATAGAGGAAGTGTGTGCCTGCAGAAGGAAGTGACTCAGGCCATTTTTAGCTCTTTTCAACAATAACATCTAAGAAAAAAGTGTAAACCTCAATAGCTAAGTAACCTTCAATGTCTTTCGGTTATGCACTTAAATGAATGAATTGATGGGAAATGACTTAGACTAACTTTAAAAAAAGGGAAAAACCTGAACTCCTATTGTATGAAACACTTGTGTTTTGTTGTTTTATTCTTCTGTGACTGGCGGTTTCTTTACAAACCCTAAGTCCAGGCTCTGGGCCACTCATTGGCAGTGGGTGGTCCTCCAAGTATTTTTCTAACACTTCCTTCCACAAACTCTTCAGCCTGGTAGGTTCTATTCAAGAATACTTGTTTTTAGCTTTAAAAAAGAGGTTAGAAGAAAGGCTCACGGGTCAAATTTTAAACTATTGATCAAATCAATCCTTTATACCAAATAGTTTGTTATAAATGCTCTACAGCTGCAAAAGACAACTTGAATCTACGAACTATCAAGATTTGCAAGGGGCTAAATCTAGTGGGTAAAAGTTTGATGTGTAACAGAGAGTAACATAATCTCAGAGTAACTTCTATCCCCCAATATATGTATTCATCACAAAGGAAAGAATAAAAACTTGACAGTGGATACAGCTGTGGGACACCACCAGCAACAGAACGCAGCAGCATTGTGTACTCCTGGCAGGAGGCGCTGACAGGGACACAGCGGCACTCGTGCTCTGCCTGCCCAAGATGCTAACCTGGAGCTCATCACGGGGAAAACATCAGACAAACCCAATCTGCAGGACAGTCTGTAAAATATTCCTCAAATAGATCAAGATCATGAAAGAGATGTGGCAAATGATGAGAACTTGTGATCCAGGCTTTTATTTTTTCTCTAAAGGAAAGTATTGGGACAAATTGGCAAAATCTGAGTAAGATTTGTATAGTATTGTATGGTAATTTCCAGATATATAAGAGAATGCTTTTGTTTCTAAAAAATATACATGCCAGCCGGGTTCAGTGGCTCACACCTGTAATCCCAAAACTTTGGAAGGCCGAGGCAGGTGGATCACTTGAGGCCACAAGTTTGAGACCAGCCTGGCCAACAGAGCAAAATCCAGTCTCTACTAAAAATACAAAAAATTAGCAGGGTGTGGTGGTGTACATTTAACATCCCAGCCACTCAGGAAGCAGAGGCACAAGAATTGCTTGAACCCAGGAGGTGGAGGTTGCAGTGAACTGAGATCGTGCCGCTGCACTCCAGCCTGGGCAACAGAGCAAGACTCTGTCTCAAAAGAAAAAAAAATTAGGCCAGGCATGGTGGCTTGCGCCTGCAATCCCAGTACTTTGGGAGGCCGAGGTGGGTGGATCACAAGGTCAGGAGTTCAAGACCAGACTGGCCAATATGATGAAACTGCGTCTCTACTAAAAAAAAAAAAAAATTAGCCAAGCGTGGTGGTGGGCACCTGTAGTCCCAGCTACTCGGGAGGCTGAGGCAGGAGAACGCTTGAACCTAGGAGGTGGGGGTTGCAATGAGCCAAGATCGTGCCACTGCACTCCAGCCTGGGTGACGAAAGCGAGACTCCATCTCAAAAAAAAAAAAAAAAAAAAAAGAAAGAAAAAGAAAAAAGAAAAAATTAAAATATGCATGCCAAAATACTTAGGAATATGGGACATTAGGTTGGCAACTTGTTCTCAAAAGGTTAAAGAAATTAAAAACTGTGTCGTGGTAGAGAAAAAGAGAGGGACGGGGAAGGGACAGAATGAGAAAGCAAATGCGGCTAAGTGTTACTATTGGGGGGATCTGGATGAAGAATATACAGCATTTTTTGTGATAGTCTTGCAACTTTTCTGTAAGTCTCAAATTATGTCAAAAGTTAAAAAAAGAAAAAGAAAAAAATTCTCAAGGGATCAAGTAATCCAGCCCTGCCACCATTCACTGATGTTTTGTTTTGTTTTTTGAGACAGGGTCTCTTTCTGTTACCCAAGCTGGAGTGCACTGGCACAATCACGACTCACTGCAGCCTCGACCTCCCAGGCTCAAGTGACCCTCCAGCCTCAGCCTACCACGTAGCTGGGACTACAAGTGCATGCCACCATGCTCAGCTAATTTTTGTATTTTTTGTACACATGGGGTTTCTCTATGTTGCTCAGGCTGGTCTTAAACTCCTGAGCTCAAGTGATCCTCTTGCCTTGGCCTCCCAAAGTGCTGGGATTACAGGCGTGAGCCACCATGCCTGATCCATTTGCTGTTCTTAATGTTATCTAGGGAGAGAGATGCCATATTTCCGTGTTTAATAAGCCTTCTTCTGAGAAGGGAGATTCATTCACATTTCAAATCCCCACTCCTGTTAAATTTTCTCTACTAGTGTGCATGGTAGGCAGAGCCCTTAGCACCCTCTTAAAATCCTTCCGGCTGAGCTGGACATGGTGGTGTGAGCCTGTAGTGTGAGAACCACTTCAGCCCAAGAGTTCAAGGCCAGCCTGGGCAGCATTAGTGAGACCCCTCTCTTTAAAAAAAACTCCTGGCCAGGTGCAGTGGCTCACGCCTGTAATCCCAGCACTTCAGGAGGCCACGGCGGGTGGATCATAAGGTCAGGAGTTTGAGACCAGCCTGGCCAATATGGTGAAACCCCCATCTCTACTGAAAATACAAAAAAATTAGCCGGGCGTGGTGGCGGGCGCCTGTAGTCCCAGCTACTCAGGAGGCTGAGGCAGAAGAATAGCTTGAACCCGGGAGGCAGAGGTTGCAGTGAGCCAAGATTGTGCCACTGCACTCCGGCCTGAGTGACAGAGCGACACTCTGTCTCAAAAAAAAAAAAAAAAAAAATCCTTCTTTCCTGTAGGAAGACTTCCTACAAGAAAGGCCTTCACAATACTGACTCAGTGTCCCCATTCAATGTTTTGCAATATATTTTCTTATGTAACCTTTACCCAGACTCATTGTTCTTCTCACTATTGTTTGCACATTATCTCCTAAGATAAAGGGCCCAAAGCTAACCTGGCACACTAATATGAGGGGGAACATAGTAACTCTAGAGGGGAAAAAGTCATCACATTCATATCCTTAGGACTTTGGGCTGCAGAAGCCTTTTGAGATAACCTAGTCTCCACCTCGTCTGGCAGGTGAGGACACTATTGCACACAGAGTCTAGGTGACTCCTCATGGCCATATGCTTAGCAAGTAGCAGCACCAGGACCAGAAACCCTGTCCAGGGCTCCCACATTAACCATGAACACAGCCAAGCACCAATGGGGAGCAGAGGAGGGGTGAGGTCATTTGAACCTTTCGGGAATCAGGTCTTTTGCAGCACGTCCCTGTTTGGTTGCTGGAGAGGATTCATTTACCCTGCTTCTCTTAGAGCATAGTCCTGTGGCTACCAAGCTGGTTTGCTCACCAACAACTCCTAGCAAAGGCTTACTGTGCACTGTGTGCCAGGCACTGGGCTCACCCTAGGGCTATGACCACTGCTCCAGAGGAGCCTGGTTCAACTTCAGAAAGAGAATCCTTGAGGAGCTGCAAAGAGGGAGAAAGTGGAGGGCCATCCCATGACACGCTTTCCCTCCCCTTGCAGGGACCCATCGATCATGGGCCTTCACTTCTGGGGCAGTTCAGAGTGCAAGGGTGGGACACATCCCAGGCCATTTCCCATGCTGTGGGTGGTATTCCTGACAGATGTGCTCCCTTCAAGAGAGTAGGACATATACCAGTTGGACCAAGGAAACCACGGGCACACCTGTCAAGGACGCCAGTTTATGAGACTCAGCTTCCAAGCCTGAAATCTGTTTTAATCTTTTACTTTCTTGAGTATGAACAGCCACCTGAGAGAAGTTAAACCAGCATTTCCTTGGGCAGAGGAAATGATAATTAATTTATATTACAAAGGAAATTTTAGAAATTGGCTCTCTTGGTGCACGTAAAGCATAATCTTACTAAAAATTATGTGTGCATGTATTATTTAATACACACAGGGTAAATAAATAGATGACTTCATTTGTTTTTGAACATGTTCACAGAAATGATAGTGAAAACTTACTAAAAATATCAGGGCAATGGGGAACACATAAATAACTACAGGTATTGTTTTAAAAAAAACAAAAACAGGTTTTTGTTTTGTTTTGTTTGTTTACCCTTTTCTAATTCACGCAAAATCGGTACAATCCTTGTATTCCAAAAGACTTCGTCTACTTCTACTTCTGCGTCCTTTTCTTGCAGGTCAGCTTTTGGGACTGCAAAAGAAATCCAGAACAGGAGAAAAAGTTATGAAAAAGGAGTTGTCATGAAGCACAGTCAAAAGCCTTTACTATTCATCACTACAATTAATAAACTAGAGAATTAAATTAGCCTTTGCTCCCCAAGCCTGACTATTTCTCATTAGAACTACAGGTCTTCTAATCAAATTACCCCAAATTAAACTCAGACTGGATAACGTAAACAAGTCAGAACTTTAAAATATGATCTGGTCACTTCATAAAGTAGTCAGCTTTGTAAATACTGATGACTGTCAGTAAGGCAAACAGTTCTGAGTTCACTTTTACTTAAACGTATCCCTCTGTAATATAGAATAAATAACTATAGATATGTAAAGAATAAGGATTTTGAAAATGTGTAATGAAAAATTTTCTAAAAGGGAGACCTAAAATGACTTTCTTTTCTATAGAAATAAGATGTCCACACTAACATGGGGCCAGTAGCATTAACGCCAAGTGATTTTGTGTGGTGCAGCAGAAAAGCCGGGGCCTTGGGGGCTGACAAATCTCAGTTCAAATCCCAACTCCGTTAAGGACATGGTGAGTGACTGGGGTCCAGTTTCTTATCCTTTCTGAGTCTCTGTTTCCTCATCAGCAGAACAGAATATTTGCCTTCGAGGGTATAAGAATTAAAATATATGGTATAGGTAAAGCTCTGAGCTCAGTGCCAAGCCTTTAGCAATATACAGTATATAATTAATTTCATTTCCCTGATTAAACAAGCACACAAACAGGTAATCACCCCTGCAGTATCTCATACCTGTGTCATACTAACAAGCCATCAAGAGTAGATGCTGCCTGTGAATATGGGTTGCAGGGAATAGCAACCATTGACTGTGTACTCTAGATGCAGGAGGCCTCCATTTCATTTTCACAGTAACACTACGAGGAGGTTCCCAAACAATCCCCATTTTGCAGGTGAAGAAAGTGGAGCCCAGGTGTACTAAGTTATCTGCTCAGGGTCGTATAGCTCCCCAGCCTCTGCACTTGACCTCAAAGCTATGCTGACTTGCAGCAAACTAGCCAACTAAAGGGTAACATTGGGGGGAAATCTAACTCGTATTAGAAACTGCGAATTATGATTATATTTCACACAGGCAGTATCTCAAGATCTAAAACACTGACTGTAGCTGGAGGTGGCATTGCTGTGCTGAGGCATTACTGAACAGTGCTGGAGATGTATGCCTCAGTCTCCCTTCTCTGAAGACCACCCTTTAAATCCTTTATCTGGCACTTGGTCTACATCAAGTCAGGGAGTCCACGCCCTCTCGGGGCAGGGTGGACCTGGTACCAATTAAGTGTACACACAGAAGGTGCCTGGACCCTAAAAATGTCACATAAAGAGTTAGAAATCAGGAACAATCAGAGGGTGAGAGGCTGGAAGAGAGAGAGACAAGAGGCAGAGAAACACAAAGAGACAGAGACAGAGAGAGGAGCAAAAGGGTATATAGCCCATGTATTTTCAGGTTACTTTAAACAAAGGACAAGTTGAGCAGGAGGCCTGTTAATAGCACAGGTTTGGAGTCACCATCCGAGTTTGAATCCTAGCTCTGCCACCTACTAGCTGGTTGACTATGGGCAAATTGCTTCACCTCTCTTCTGTAAAATGGGGTAACAATGGTTATCTCTAAATATTGTGATTAGGATTATTAATTTATTTGTGCTCTTCTGTATTTTCCAGTGCCTCTAATGCATTATTATTATTCTTGAAGAGAAAAATATATACTACACATATTAAATGTGTGTAATACCTTAGTACATATCCATATTAATATTTTTTAATATTAATATGGATCAAAATAAAATTCTCTGCATCAAGAAATCCAATAAAGTCCCTTGACGATTATCTGTACAAATAGCAGAGAAATCCATAGATAACACATAATGGCATGTATTGAAAAACTCATTTGAAATCAGAGATATATTTGATTTCTGAATACTCACACCATCAAATGGTGCTGATGTCACGCAGGAGAAGCAGGGACACTGTACAATCTATCTATCCCGCCCAACACAGAGGCCTTCCCCTGTTATACTACATGCTAGAAATGGCCACTCTCAGTTGCAGCAAGTCCAGGCTTGCCTTTTATCAACCCTTCCCACTGCCAAGAGCAGCTGACCCACACAGGGCATCCAAGATCACCTAAGCAGCAAAAGTAAATAGAAAGAGGTTGTCAACAAAGCTATTATTAAACATTTGCGGTGCAGTAAATAGCCTTAATAGCAAGGTTTCAGATAATCTATCTAACCCAGTACAAGACTTCACCATAAAATACTAAATTGAATTGTCTTTAGGACAAATTAGTCCACATCAGTACAGATTCACAATCCCTTATCCAAAACCTTTGGAACCAGATATGGTTTGGGATTCGGAAACACATGGATTTTAGAAAGTCAATATGGTATACACATTGCACATCACAAACCACCCCCGCAGGGCCTTCTGCAGCAGCACCCTGTAGCAAAATATCTGAATATTCACAGTAACAAAATGAAGACTCTAACTGACTTCCCATCAGGCTCAGGGATTTCGGAACTACAGATAGTTTGTAGACTACCATCTCAATCTTTTGGATCATTGTTTTTATGAATCTGCCCTAACTTTGATAATTCATGGATGTGGATTCTAAAAATAAACATGAATATTCAAGTAATACAAAAAACATAGTTTCTCATATTTGTGGATAATTAACCTATTCAAAGTCCAAAGTATATAAAGAATAAAATAAAATAAACATCTATCAAGGCAAGTGAAAGCCAGAAAATAAGTCAGGCAAGTTATTTAATCCACACATATTTATGACACACTTACATTTACTAGAAACTAGACTTTGAGTCCAGTAAGTTCAAGTCTGCATTTTTTACCTCCTATGCAATATGCTGCTTAATACAGAAGTTCTATGAGAAACCACGGCTATCAACTGTTTTTCAGGACAAATAAAATGGATAACTTATTCACCCCAGAAAGAGCTAAATTACAGGGGTGAGTCAGAAATCACAGAACAACTTATTTAACCCTCATGGGCCCTTATGAATGTTTCTGAGATTGGCTTCTCCTCAGAACCGAAGTTACTGAGTCACTGGTATGAGGGTTTCCTTCCAACCCTCTCCTAGGAATTTCAAAGTGCACAGTTGTGTCTGGCTATAGCCTTTCTACCTCTTCACTCACCCTGGGCCTCCCCCTGCCTCCATTTTATACACAATCCCTGAGTTACTCTAGAAAATGAAGCATGGAATCATATGACTGCTTTTTAAGATACACACAGACAAATAACAAAAAGGTTGTCTCAATCTTGGGCAACAATCTAATATTTTAGAAAGCACTTTCATCTAGGTTCACAGTTTGCTAAATATAAACATTATGATTCAACAGGAAATTGGGTAAGTCAAGCAAAAATTTCAGCATGTTTTTGAAGATTTTGCTGTCTCAGTGGTTATAGTTGTTAACCACAGCTTTGAGTTCTGGACACAAAAACCCGACACAATGTTTGGATTGGCTGATGTTTTTAGCATGTAAATGTAAAATCCTTAGCAACTATGCTGGCTCGAAAATTACTATATCTAAGATTTTCCTGAGTAAAGAAATTCCCAATGGCACAAAAGTCATTTTATTGATAAAAAACTAAGTTTTGAAGATAACAATTTTTAAAATCTAGTATTCAGTATTGTAAAATCTCATGTGTACAAAAATATATGAAGAGTATAACAGACACCAGTGTATCCCATACTAGTTTGGTCAGATATTAACATTTTGCCAAATTTTTATCCTTTCCCTTATTTTAAAGAAATGAAACATTACAGATGTGTGGCTCCCTGCATCCATTCCCCTCCTCCCTCTCCCTCTAGGGGTTACCACCATCCTAAATCCCCTGGTTACTATGATTACACTTGACTTCACATGCTTACCACATGGCTGTGTATCCGCAAACAATATATGTCTTTGCTTTTGCAACTTGTTTCATCTCATATTATGTTTATACTGAATTTACTCAATATTACAATATACAAAAGCCCATGAGTTCACTTTTCTAACAACTATATTCTATTGCATGAATACATTTTGTATCATTTCTAGACTGTGGTTTATATTGTTACATACTTTCTCAATTAAACCGTTTAAAGGCCCAAAGGACGGTCTTAGTAAAGTTAATATAGTTTCATTTAAGTGAGCAATGTTTTTTTTTTTTTTTTTTTGAGACAAGTCTCGTTCTGTTGCCCAGACTGGAGTGCAGTGGTGTGATCTAGGCTCACTGCAAACTCCATCTCCCAGGTTCAAGTGATTCTCCTGCCTCAGCCTCCCAAGTAGTTGGGATTACAGGTACCCCACTCCCTCACACCATGCCTAGCTAATTTTTGTATTTTTTTTTTTTTTTTTTTTTTGGTAGAGATGGGGTTTCACAATGTTGGCCAGGCTGGTCTTGAACTTCTGACCTCAAGTGATCTGCCTGCTTCCAAAGTGCTGGGATTATAGGTGTGAGCCACCATGTCCAGCCAAGCAATGCCTTGAACTCAAGTTTTTAACCCAAGAACTATGTTAATGTTAAGTTTTGCAACTTCCCAAATGCTTTTACAAAATGATTTCTACAAAACCATTAAGACTGTCATCTAGGCCGGGCATGGTGGCTCACCCCTGTAATTCCAGCATTTTGGGAGGCCGAGGCAGGTGGATCACGAGGTCAGGAGATCGAGACCATCCTGGCTAACACTATGAAACCCCATCTCTACTAAAAATACAAAAAATTAGTCAGGCGTGGTGGCGGGTGCCTGTAGTCCCAGCTACTTGGGAGGCTGGGGCAGAAGGATGGTGCGAACCCGGGAGGTGGAGCTTACAGTGAGCCGAGATCTCGCCACTGCACTCCAGCCTGGGCGACAGAGCAAGAAACTCTGTCTCAAAAAAAAAAAAAAAATGCCATCTACAGACGTTTGAGGCATCTGAGTTGGGTAGTGGTAAGATGGTAAGATTGTATGAATATAATAAAAATGTATAAAAATAAATGTTGATTTGTGATCAAATTGGACAAACTTCCTGAAGTTTTCAGTGAGCCAACATAGATATCTTCAGTGCAAACATTTTTCCTTTAAGTGGAGATGCTGCAGATGAAGGAGTGTGGGGATCCCTCACCTGCTTTGGTTTGCAGCCTGCTCAGGTCTGAGCTACTGGGGCGTGATGAGGCCCTCGCATGTCTCTTCCCCTGGTCCCTAGGAGAAATACATAAAACACTCAGCACAAACGTCAAAACACTTCTAATTTTGTAAATGACAAGAGTCTGCTATATACAGTTTCTTCTTTATTATTTTGAGATAGGTCTCACTCTGTCACCCAGGCTAGAGTACAGTGGTGCTGCAATCACAGCTCACCGCAGCATCAAACTCCTTTCAGCAAGTGATTCTCCCACCCCAGGCTCCCGAGTAGCCGGGACTATAGGCACATGCCACCATGTCTGGTTACTTTTTAAAAAACATTTTGTAGAGACAGGGTCTCACTATGTTGTACAGGCTGGTGATTTTGGGTCTCAAGTGATCCTCCTGCCTCAGCCTCCCAAAATGCTAGTATTATAGGAGTGAGCCACTGTGCCCGGCCAATATACAGTTTCTGAAGAAACCATCGAGAATTGTTTATAAGGTGGGGTTTGGTGCTCTATATGCTGTTTTGTTTTTGTTTTTGTTTTTATGAGATGAAGTCTTGCTCTGTTGCTCAGGCTGGAGTGCAGTGGTGCAATCTCTGCTCACTGCAACCTGCCTTAGCCTCCCCAGTAGCTGGGATTACAGGTACACGCCACCATGCCCGGATAATTTTTGTAGTTTTAGTAGAGTCGGGGTTTCGCCATGTTGGCCAGGCTGTTCTCAAACTCCTAACCTCAGGTGATCTGCCCGCCTCGGCCTCCCAAGTGTTGGGATTATAGGCATGAGCCACCACCCTGGCCTTGATATGCTGCTTTAATTTACCTTTGATTTCCAAGTAAGATTTATCTTTTTAAAACAAGTCATATTTGCCTAACAACATGAAATACAGTTACTAGAAAGAACAAAAAATCCAGTTTACTTTGCAAATCAAAACAAAATTGGTTAAGGATATATACCACAAGAGGTCACTGTTACAGTAAGAAAGAACTCTGGGATGCTTGGATTACAAAAGCCTAGCCTTCGGGAGCTGGGAAAGACCTCTGTCTCTTTTTCTCTCTTCCTCCCTCCCCTCAACCCTGCAGACAAAGAAATTATGTTCCAGCTGGCCAGATGTGCCCAAGGTCACACAGTAAAGACACATTTGGAACCTAGGTCTCATAATTAATAAATTCACTTCTCTTTCCACTACATAAAAATGTGCCCTGGTTCCATTTTTAAAATTAAATTAATATTCTCTGAAAATATTTATTTTTAGAAATATTTTAAACGTTAAAAAACTGAAAATAAATTTGGACAGTCCCCAGATGACAAATATTTTGTATTCCAAACAAAAGAGCAGTGGCTGGCCAATAGCAGGATTATATGCTCAGGTTTTTAAAAAGTTTTATTTAATGTAGAGAACATCTCTGAAGGATACAGCTTCTCTTTAGCCAGAGCTGACACTTAGAAGTACTGACTTTTAAATATCTGCACAAAATTCCAAAGTAAAAAAACACCAGGAGAAGCAGAGTGCAAGTTTTATATCAAAATTTCTTTTTGGCCATCAAATATAATAGTTGTCCCAAAAAGCTCACAGAGAAGGCCTATACATATGATAGTCCCGTGGACATCTGTATGTGCCCGTGGCTTCTGCTTCCTGTGTAGTGAGCCCCCCAGTGACTATGCTGTGTTGCAGCTTAGCCCTTGGCCTTTCCTACCGCCCTGAAGATTAGCTTCTCCAAATACCATTTTTTACCTCATAAACATGTTCCCCCCCCCAACTTTTTTTTTTTTTTTTTTTTTTTTTTTTTTTTTTTTTGAGATAGAGTTTCACTCTTGTTGCCCAGGCTGGAGAGCAATGCGTGATCTCGGCTCACCCCAACTTCCGCCTCCCAAGTCCAAGGGATTCTCCTGCCTCGGCCTCCTGAGTGGCTGGGATTGCAGGCGTGCGCTACCACGCCTGGCTAATTTTGTATTTTTAGTGGAGACGGGGTTTCTCCATGTTGGTCAGGCTGGTCTTGAACTCCCAACCTCAGGTGATCTGCCTGCCTCGGCCTCCTAAAGTGCTGGGATAACAGATGTGAGCCACAGCGCTCATCAGCCACTCCCAACCTTTTTTTCTTTAAAAAAAAAAAAAAAAAAAAAAAACACTTAACACATCCTTTAATCATAAAATAGGAAAAAAATGAAGCCAATTTTCCAAAAATTATCTAATTAATATTCAGAAACAACTGCTTTATTTGTGCATAATAAAAATACATGATAGCAAATGTCCCAAGCCAATCAAAAATGGCTATGGGGATAGGGACCTCTCAAGGCAGAAAGAAAAGAATCAATACCAAAATGATTGATTTTGGTAAAGGTAAAATACCAAAAGTTTGTCAGGGTGTGGAGCCAAGGAAGTTCTCATATTTATGACTCCTAGAAATAACGAGAAGGTTTGAGACTAGGGACAAGGCCTTCCTTTCAATATATACAACTGCCCTATACAACTATTAAAATCAAGCAAGATACTTTTCAACTGACGGGCTTCCAAAGTCAATGGTCCACTCTCCCTGCGGTCATGGTCAGTGATGAGGTTGCCTACATAAATACCACACGCATGTATCCCCACTTCTAGGGGAAAAAACGAAGTGTCCTTCTTATATGCAAAAGCTCAGCAGTGCTGAGTCTCCCAGTTCTCAAGAAGAGCACAGAACTAATTAACTCAAGATGGATTAAAGATGTAAACATAAGACCTAAAACCATAAAAACCCTAGAAGAAAACCTAGGCAATACCATTCAGGACATAGGCATGGGCAAAGACTTCATGACTAAAACACCAAAAGCAATGGCAACAAAAGCCAAAATTGACAAATGGGATCTAATTAAACTAAAGAGCTTCTGCATAGCAAAAGAAACTATCATCAGAGTGAACAGGCAACCTACGGAATGGAAGAAAATTTTTGCAATTTATCCTTCTGACAAAGGGCTAATATCCAGAATCTACAAAGAACTTAAACAAATTTACAAGAAAAAAACAAACAACCCCATCAAAAAATGGGTGAAGGATATGAACAGACACTTCTCAAAAGAAGACATTTATGCGGCCAACAAATATATTTTAAAAAGCTCATCATCACTGGTCATTAGAGAAATGCAAATCAAAACCACAATGAGATATCATCTCATGCCAGTTAGAATGGCAATCATTAAAAAGTCGGGAAATAGGCCAGGTGCAGTGGCTCAAGCCTGTAATCCCAGCACTTTGGGAGGCCGAGATGGGCGGATCACGAGGTCAGGAGATTGAGACCATCCTGGCTAACATGTTGAAACCCCGTCTCTACTAAAAAAAATACAAAAAACTAGCCGGGCAACGTGGCGGGCGCTTGTAGTCCCAGCTACTCGGGAGGCTGAGGCAGGAGAATGGCATAAACCCGGGAGGTGGAGCTTGCAGTGAGCTGAGATCCGGCCACTGCACTCCAGCCTGGGCGACAGAGCCAGACTCCGTCTCAAAAAAAAAAAAAGTCGGGAAACACCAGATGCTGGAGAGGATGTGGAGAAATTTAGGAACACTTTTACACCGTTGGTGGGAGTGTAAATTAGTTCAACCATTGTGGAAGACAGTGTGGCGATTCCTCAAGGATCTAGAACCAGAAATACCATTTGACCCAGCAATCCCATTACTGGGCATATATCCAAAGGATTATAAATCATTCTACTATAAAGACACATGTACACACGTATGTTTATTGTGGCACTGTTCACAATAGCAAAAACATGGAACCAACCCAAATGTCCATCAATGATAAGACTGGATAAATAAAATGTAGCACATATACATCATGGAATACAATGCGACCATAAAAAAGGATGAGTTCATGTCCTTTGCAGGGACATGGATGAAGCTGGAAACCATCATTCTCAGCAAACTAATACAAGAACAGAAAACCAAACACTGCACGTTCTCACTCATAAGTGGGAGTTGAACAATGAGAACACATGGACACAGGGAGGGGAACACCACACACTGGGGCCTGTCAGGGGGTGGGGAGCTAGGGGAGGCATTAGGGGAGCATTAGGAGAAATACCTAATGTAGATGACGGGCTGATGTGCACAGGAAACCACCATGGCACGCGTACACCTATGTAACAAAACTGCACGTTCTGCACGTGTATCCCAGAGCTTAAAGTATAATTTCAAAAAAGTAATAATAATGCTAGAAATAAAAAAGAGCACAGGACTGGGATTAACTGCTGTTCTATGTTATCCTTATGGTGTGGAGGGTATGTGTAGGCTCTGAACCCAAGCTGCCTGAGTTTGGGTCCTGGGTCTAACTTTTATCGGCATTGTGACCTTTTACTTGGCTTTGGTTTCCTCATCATTAAAAAAAAAAAAAAAATTTTAAATAGAAATGGGGGCCTTGCTATGTTGACCAGGCTGGTCTAAAACTCCTAGTCTCAAGCAATCCTCCCATCTTGGCCTCCCAAAGTGTTAGGATTGCCGGGTGTGAGCCACTGTGCTGAGCCTGGTTTCCTCATCTTAAATCAAATGCAGTGACTCTGCTTAGTATAGCGACTGATGTTGGAAGAACTTAATAAACTGAGATTAATTTTCTCTTTCCTTATGAGTCAATAATCCCTAATCTAAGCGGTCCAGAGCCAAATCTTATTGAGTTAAAGAATGTGCATGGCATTGTCCTGATGAAGTTTAAAATCTACTCTGAGGAACTAAGGAACCACTGTTTTTTCATGGAAAAGTCCAATAGAGTTGTTAATAACGTGCTAGAATGTGAAGTTAAACAGATTGCAAGAACTAGAGGGTGCTAAGAAGGAAGTGATTAGTGAGTGGGAGAAGTGGACCACAAAATGGGCCTTTAAAGAGTAAAAGTTGGCCAGCATGGTGGCTCACGACTGTAATGCCACCACTTTGGAAGGCCTAGGTGAGATGATCACTTGCGCCTAGGAGTTCAAGGAGCTCAAGACCAGCCTGGGCAATATGGCAAGACCTCCCTCTAAAAAAAAATTTTATACTATCTAGCATGGTGGCACACAACTATAGCCCCAGCCACTTTGGAAGCTGAGGCAGGAGGATCGCTTGAGCCCAGAAGGTCGAG